ACCCAATTTCTTCGATCCCATTTTCTCTTAAGTCAGCAAGTTGAAGTCCCTCACCGCCGTTCATGTGTGATTCGTTGCCTGTTGATAAACCCTTGGTTTACCATGGTTTTAGGCTTAATTATACTTGAAATATATCATGAACTGCTTGGAAATTAGGGTTTATACCGCAAAGTTACAATAATTGAATATCTTGCTAACATGTTGTCATATTTCTTATTTCAAAGGATTTTTGACATCTATTATGGTTTTTGGAGCCAAAGAAATACAACATGATGAGTTCAAACCTCAAAGAAGCAAGATTTCCAATGTGTACCAGCTGAAGGAGGACGTTTTGGCGTCCAAGAAGCACATTTAAAAGCTCAAAATGAAGAAAACCACAATATCTCCATGGACCAGAGCGTTTTGGCGCCCAAACAGCACGCCAAAATGCTCCAGCAGCATGAAAACACCCTTCGAAGAGGACGTTTTGGCACCCATCAGCACGCCAAAATGCCCAGAGGCAGACAACAACACACTGTGAGAACGTTTTAGCGCACAAACAGCATGCTAAAATATCCAGGCACGGCCAAATCTAAATCCAAAAGAGATTTTATATCTTTATCAAGATGTGCATCATATTTTTACAAAAATACAAAGTGGAAACAAATCAATCTTGATTGAGAATAGATATAAATCTATGGGAAGATATAATGGAAGATCAAAACAAAGATTCAAAGCTCAAATCTGTCAACCAATCTTCAAGATCTTAAATGCAAAGAGGAAACAATTGTAGAATCAACTACAAATCTGATATGGATTCATTGGGAGATTCAATAAAGGATACAACTTCAATGGTTATAAATAAGGAGCTTGGGAGCAAACACCAATACACAAGTCTAGAGCATTACACCAAGACGGAAGGAGGAATCCTGTTGCGGAGCGCTGGAACATTGAGGAACCAAGTCAACATCACACCAATGGAGGCTTGATGTTCTCTTTTCTTTATTATTGTTTTTCAATTCAGTATGCTAGGCTAGTCTTTTATGTAGTTAAGGGTAGATGGAACCCAATTGAATCTTTATGTTTATGAATTAAATTATCTCTGAATTCTGTTCTTTTTATAATTGAATAAATTATCTGTCTTTATTGCTTTCTATGAGTTTGCTCCTTATAGAATGATTTTGGGAAATTGTATGACAATAGGGATGTTGGTGCATGAACCCTGATTTAATAATTTATCATAATCCTTGTGATCTAGGAATAGACATAGGGTAATTATGCAATCTTGGAATTCTTGATCTTAATGCATGTTTTCTTGGGGAATAATCAGGGAACTAGAGTTCTTTCAAGATTACATAGATTTATGGTAACAAAAAATTGAGCCGTAATTAACTTAGAAAGAATTGTTTGGCAATATATTAAGAGACAGATTCTTGACTGTTTAATTCATAACATATTGAGGATATTGGGGGAAGTCGAAACCTTAACTACACTTGTTTAAATTCTTTAATCAATCATCATCTTCATTCATTCTTTAAATTTTGAATTTTCTTTAATTGAATGCTATTACTTGTTTTTAATTTTTAAGTTCTTCAATTACAATTCTCTCCAATCCAACTTTTGATTGTCCAACTAAAACGCGATTAGCGAACTAGTGCTTGAAATTCTGATCCTCGTGGGAACGATCTCGTACTCCGGTACTCTTTATTACTTTACGACCGATGCACTTGCCGAGTCGCAACACCTGTTCACCACCGCAACATCTTCGTCGATTTTGATTTTTGTGATCTATCGAGGTTTACAAACCCTACCCTACCCCACAAACCATTTCTCTGTCGGTATGTCCCTGCTTCATGATTGTTCGATTTCATGCACTGATCGATTGCATTTGCTATGTTGATGCAGAAGTGGTTTGGATTTCAATAGATTAGGTGCTCACAGTGATTTCCCAAAAGCAAAAGGCAGCCTTCAGGGTTTTTTTCTTTGGATTTGCCTTCACCAAGCAGCAGGTACTGCTTTTTCTTTTCTTTTCTTTTTTCCCCCAAGAAAGGTGCAAGTAATGTGCTTATGTATGTTTTTCTTTGTTGCCTCTGTTTCTTTTTATCACCTAAATGTACAATTTTTAGATCTTTGTGAAGCTTGCTTTGAGATAGTTTGTTGTTTCTTTGTTGCCTCTGTTTCTTTTTATAACTTACATGTATAATTTTTAGATCTTTGTGAAGCTTACTTTGAGATAGTTCGCTGTTTCGTTGTCTCCTTTTTTTGTATTTCTTATGGATATACTGATGTGTTTCAAAAAAATTATAAATTTATATGCTTGTCATTGCATTCCTTCCTAAAGTTGTAAATGTAGAGATACAAAGTTAAATGAAACAGAAAAAAATTATATGAATGAAAAGCATAAGAAATTCTTGATTAAGTGTTAGGCTAAGTTGTGGTTTGGCTTCCCAATGAATAATCGGTTAATGAGGTTAGGAATTAGGATAAGGGTATGGAACATCGAACTCTGTAGGAGAGCGATCAGGGATGTCAATTTTCCATATGGTATGTCCATTTCTTGTTCTTGTGTATGTTCTTTTTTGGGAGTGTGAAATTGAAATGAGCTTTATGTATCAAATGAGTTATGAGATGGGATATTTAATATTTTGAATTAATTTGTATTACATTAATTTTTTATTTTAACCTAAAATACAAAAACAAAGATCGGTTCATTCCAAACTGTTTTTTAAATTATATTAGATTGAACCAAATTTAAATTTAGAAACAAACTAGTTAGATAATAAAAATATGACTCGAAATTCTTTTTTATATAAAAGAAAATTTAGAAACACCGTACGATTGGAATTTGCAATCTAATCAAGGAAGATGATAATTAAGGTGTTAGTCACTATCAAATTGGCAATAAATTCTTTTTGGCCACCTTGCTATTAGATATTAATATTGCTTTGATCACAGATATTGCTCTGAATGGAATGGATTGATTCTTAATGGAATTGATTGATTCTTAAGGGGTTAGTCACTAACATGTATTGCTCTGAATGGAATGGATTGATTCTTAAATTTGTGCTAGTTTCGTGTATTTTTTTTTTCAAGTTTGTCTGCTTTATATGTTTTGCAGGTTACAAGGTTTTTACCTCACTCACTCTAATGATCATAACTTTATTTTGCAGGAAGATGATGTTTCATAGATTCAAAAAGTGAAAGTGTATCAAAGTAAGAGGAAGATAAGAAGGCTCATTAGAAGATTGTGACATGCCAAGAAAAATTCAATCTTTGTTGTCATGAATTTTTATAATATGTGTTCTTGTTAAAAAATCTGTTGTAGAATTTTTATAATTTGGACCCATGCTAGAAATATTGTTTAATGAATGAGATATTTCATTCTTTTTTTTAAATTTAATTTGCAATATGGTAGGCCTAAAAGGCCTTATTGGCCATGTAGGCTTTTTATTTTTTAATAACAGGACAATCTTGACCTTTAAACTAAGCCTTTGATAGGCTCATAGGCTAGATAGGCTCAACATTTTTTTGTATAGGCCTAGGCCATGAAGGCCAAAGCCTGCCCTGTCCTGATCTATTTGCACCCCCTAAATGTAGATAAGTTATCTATATTTACTAAAAAAATGACATCTTTTTGGGTTAAAAAATTAAAAATAATAATAAGAAAGGTTGTTATAACTCTGAAATAAATTATAATTATAAAAATACCTTGATTTTCGTCCGAAAACGACGTCGTTTTAAGCTCAATGTAGATAACTTATTTACATTGACCGTAGAAAGAATGAACCCATGATTTTTTAATATTGCAACCCAAAATAACGTCGTTTTAGGAGTGAACGTAAATAACTTATTTATATTCACTGTAGAAATATTAAAGCCTTATAAATGTTATTTTTGAATGATTTAATCTTTTTCATAATTATACGATTTTATTTTTTATGAATAATCACACGTTTATTAAAAGAGTTTATCATTGGGCTCTGGCCCTTTAATTTACAAAAAAAGAGTTTATCATTTTATGTAATCATTATACGGAAATTTTAGATCTGTAACAATATATAATTGTATAATATTATAAAAAAAATTAAATTCCAATATAAAAAAACATAAATAAATAAATAAAAATTTGTCAAATTTGCACATGCCGTGGACTGGAATTAAACTTTCAATTAGAAATTATTTAAAATAAGAAATGGTGTTGGTATGAATGCTTTTTTTACTAAAATAATTTACTTCAATATTTTATTTTTTAAATTATTTATGTCGGAGCATTAATTTCAAAATATGTAAAAAAATTTATATTGGAATGTTCGTTTAAATACCTTTTGCTTTTGGGGGAGAAACTCACATTCCATGATGATTAGTTTTAAATGATTAAAAATCAAAACTTAGGAAAATAATTTGTCATTTTTAAATTGATGTTATTTTAAGTACTGAAATAATCATATTTTTGTGCATATTTATTGATTTTTTTCCTCTGAAATGCTTTTTTTTCTCTTTGCCTCTAATTTTATGAAGGAAGAAAAATTATAAAAGATCAACAAATATATACAAAAATATAATTATTTCATTTAAAATGAAAGAAAATTATACTTACAAATGTTTGCCAAAAAAAATAAATTACAAATGTTATTCCCAAACTTAAACCACTTTAAAAAATAATGTTTGGACACAAATAACTTGAGATATAAACTATTTAAACATAGGGATAATAAATTGTGAAAACTAATTAAAATTATTACCAATATTACTATCAATCAATTTCACTGTTAGATTGATTATGTTGATCTAACGATTATTTTTATTTTTATTTTTATATAATTATAATTTTTCATATTCAATACTTTCGCATTAAAAATAAAAAATTATATGCATACAAAAATAAAAATAAAAATAAAATATTAAATATGAAGAATCAGATTAATATAATTAGATCCTTTCCCCTTAACAACAACAGGCAAACCGTGTTTGTTTCTGGGTTTTGGTTACCCCTACTCCTATTCTTACCATGTTACTCGTAACTCACTCAGCTTCTACGCTGGAAATTCAAGCTCTTCTTCCTCTCAACTCAAAACCCCTAATCACCACTACAAAAGGATTTGTGGACCCAAAACGCTGCGTTTTGATTCCACTCACAGTCTCAGACTTAACCCAACTCTTCTTCTGACCCTGAGGTGGGTGATTTTTTGCTTTCTTTTTCTTGTTTCTTGTTCATTCACAAGATTACATCCCAAAAAAAATTGGATTTTGAGAATGAAATTTTTATTTTTATTTTAATTTTGGTAATGTAACAATTATTATTTTTGTCCCTTTGTAATTTTGTGAGAGCCAAGTAGTTAAATTATTATCACTGGGTTGTAATGGCAATGCTCTTTGAGAACTGTAAAACTGTAAACATGATTTTGGGTCAGCAATTGTGGTGAAAATATTGTATTTATTGGAGATAATGTGATATTCTCAATGTATACTTTTGTTGAAGATGAAGAAAAAAAGGGTTATTGAATTGAATGGTTTCTCTATATTTTTTGAAGTAACAAATGGGCAGGTGTTCTGAAAAAATTACTCTAATTATAGGTGGAAGTATTTATTTTGAATTGAAGATTGCAGTTTACAGATTTTTATGTGGTTAATATATTCTTTGAACAAGGCAATGCTGGTCTAAATTACCCCAGTCTAATTTCCTCATAGTTCAATGGAATTATTGTAGTTGAGCCCATGTTAGAAATGAATCCTTAAAGTTTGTTGATTTATGGCTCAATAATCCTGTTGTAACTTTTTCTGGCTTTATATATTGAAATTTTTTATTCAATTTAAAAGTTTTTCAGTTGTGAGAGTTTTTATATTATTATGTTCTTTATTATCCAACTTTCCAACTTGATGCCCGTTGTTCTTTATATAGAACAAATTCACACATGTAGAAACTTCTAACATTAACGTGTGAACTACTTTGGGGATGATTTTTTTATTTTTTTTTAACTAAAAAATAAATTAGTTTCATTTCGCGCTAACTTCAAGTTAATTTTTCAGTGAGAATTTCTCCTCTAGTTTTAATTAAGGGTTTTCTGAACTTATAAATAGGAATTTTCTCAAATATTTATCAAAATTGTGACTTTGTGGATCTTAGACCAAAACTCAGATGTTTTTAATTACTTTACCCTAGCTGCCTACAACCACCCGTCCAGGGTTTAAATAAACTAGTACTTTCATGCTGTAGGATCTATTAGTATCTGTAATCAGTTGAAAATATAGGTGATTTTAGCATTTTAAATTTTGATAATTCCTTCATCTAAACTACTTCTTCTTCCTTTCCAATAATCAATTTTTCTTCTGGATTCCAGTAATTAGAAAATTATTTCCTATGTTTATAATCATATATGTTCTACAATCTATTCCATACATGATGTTCTTAATCAATGCCTTGTGTAGGTAGATAATGCTGGCAATTTCCATCATTGCTTGAGAAGGATAAGCATGAGTCACTTTTTCAAATCCTTTCCAGGAAAGCCTTTGAAGTGCTCTTATCTCTAGCTACACTCTCATGGATGTTGAAGCAGTAGATGAAGGGGAAAACATTGATAGACCTGCTTCTGAAAATGTTGAAACTGAAAAAGGCCAGGGACATGTTATGACTGTAAACTTGGCTGAAAGAGAAGTAAATAATCAGTATGGTGATGCATATAGGAAACCACAAGTGGGCATGCTGTTTGAATCTGAAGACGCTGCAAAATCAATTTATGAGGCATATGCAAGACATGTAGGATTTAGCACCCATGTTGGTCAATTCAGTCGTGCTAAGCCTGATGGTCCAATTATAACTTGGGATTTTGCTTGTTCTTGGGAGGTATTTAAAAGGAAGAACGTAGTAAGTTGCAATGCAATGCTTAGGATTGAGAGAAAAGATGCAAACTGGGTAGTGACAAAATTTGTTGAGGATCATAACCATTCCCTTGCTTCCCCTAGAAAGGTGCAGTATCTTCGACCCCGTAGGCATTTTGCAGGTGCTACAAGAAATGTTGCAGAGACATTTGATGCCAGTAATGATTCTTATGTTCCCTTGAATGGCAATCATTTAGAAGCAGTTAGTATAGTTCGGAGTTCCTCTCCAGCAGAAAAAAGTCATCCAACAAGAAACATTGATTCTTTTACCAATGTAAGATCTTCCCGAAAGAGGACCCTTGGAAGAGATGCTCAAAATCTTCTAAATTATTTTAAGCAAATGCAGGCAGAAAACCCTGGCTTCTATTATGCAATACAGCTTGATGATGAGAACCGCATGACCAACGTATTCTGGGCTGATGCAAGGTCAAGATCAGCTTATAATTACTTTGGTGATGCGGTAATTTTTGACACAATGTATAGACCAAATCAATACCAAGTCCCATTTGCTCCATTTACAGGAGTCAATCATCATGGTCAGATGGTTTTATTTGGTTGTGCATTACTTGTAGACGAATCTGAGTCTTCCTTTACTTGGCTGTTCAGGACGTGGCTAACTGCTATGAATGATCGACCACCTGTTTCTATAACCACTGACCAAGATAGAGCCATACAAGCAGCTGTTGCCCAGGTGTTTCCAGAAACTCGCCACTGTATTTGTAAGTGGCACATTTTGAGAGAAGGTCAAGAAAGATTGGCTCATATTTACCTTGCTCATCCTTCATTCTATGGGGAGCTATATAGCTGCATCAATTTCTCTGAGACTATTGAGGATTTTGAATCAGCATGGAAGTCTCTCCTAGATAAATATGATCTCCAGAAAAATGATTGGCTTCAAGCAGTGTATAATGCTCGCAAACAATGGGCCCCTGTTTACTTTCGTGGTACTTTCTTTGCTGCATTTACTTCAAACCATGGGGTTAGCTCCTTTTTTGATGGCTATGTAAATCAACAGACAACCATACCTTTTTTCTTTAAGCAGTATGAAAGATCTCTTGAACATTCACTGGAAAAAGAAATAGAAGCAGATTATGATACCATTTGTACCACACCTGTGTTGAAGACTCCATCACCAATGGAGCAACAGGCTGCAAATCTGTATACTAAGAAGATTTTTGCAAAGTTTCAGGAGGAACTGGTGGAAACTTTTGTGTATACAGCAAATAATGTTGATGATGATGGTGTGGTCAGTAAATACAGGGTTGCAAAATATGAACATGATCACAAGGCATACATGGTTACATTAGATATCTCTGAAATGAAGGCAAATTGCAGCTGTCAGATGTTTGAATACGCAGGCATTCTTTGTCGGCATATATTGACTGTCTTCACTGTTACAAATGTTCTTACCCTTCCATCGCACTACATTTTGAACCGATGGACAAGGAATGCGAAATCCAGTATTGGAACAGATGATAGAATATCAGATCCACTTGGCATTGAGAACCTAACCATACGCTTCAATAGTTTATGTCAAGAAGCCATTAAGCTTGCAGAAGAAGGGGCAATAGCTGTAGAAACTTATAATGCAGCAATTAATGCTTTAAGAGAGGGTTCTAAAAGGGTTGCTTTTGTGAAGAAAAATGTTGCAAAAGTCATACCTCCAACCACTCAGGGTAATGGAAGCAGTCAGGAAGACAATGGCAAGAGGAGCCCTTCATCAATTTCTGAAGTCATCCCATCATTATGGCCTTGGCCAGATTCAGTGACACATCACTTTAATCTTAATGACATTGGGCTTCCTGTTACTGATCTGAATCGTCCTATTGCAGATCGTGTTTCTATTCACCGTGATGGTGGCCCTCCAGACAACAATGTATTTATCTGAATTACCCTAATATTTATTACTGTTAAGTTATGCTGGTCATTGCTTCAATTGACTATACTTTATTGATGCAGGTTGTCCTTACTTGTTTCAAGGCTATGACTTGGGTTATAGAAAATAAGAACTCAAGCCCACCCAGTAAAGTTGCAGTCATCAACATGAAGGTCTGTATATAGGAGCTTTATATGCCTGCAACCTCTGTTCTCTTCTGAGTTGCTGTGTGCATCTTTTATTTCTCAAGAAGCAGATATCTGAACATTTTTTGTCAGATACTCTGATTAAATTTAATGTGGCATCAATATGCTCTGTAGTTGGAAGAGATCAATTTTTTTCCAGATCTTCATTTAACATTCATGAGGACGAGCCTTAGAGCAGTGGTAAGGTTGCTCTTTGTGACTGAAAAGTCACGAGTTCGAGTCTGAGAAACTGTCTCTTTACAAAAAATACAAGGGTAAGGCTGCGTAGAATCGAACCTCACTCCTATCCTCACAATTCGGGAAGGTGTACCGGGGTTTGTGCTTTTGCTGTTTTCAGAAAATATTAAAAATCTAGGTTACTTCACTTACCATATTGCTTCCTATGCCTATGTATAGAGGACTATTGAATTGTGCGTGGATAACATGTATAAGGTGCTCAAAAGTCAAAACATTCTTTTTTACCTGTTAATTATGTTTTGCTCCCTTTTGTAGCTGCAAGATTATGGCAAGAGCTCTTCAGGAGAGACAGAAGTGCAATTCAGTGTGACGAGGATCACTTTGGAGCCTATGCTGAAGTCTATGGCTTACATCAGTCAGCAGCTCACTGCAGTCAATAGAGTTGCTGTCATCAATCTGAAGGTGCACAAACTTGGATCATGATCCTCTACTCTACCTAACTCCTAAACGTTTTACAATCATTTTCACTCACAAGTTTTGTGGGTGAAATCATTTTCTTCAAATGCTCTCACATCATATAAATGAAACCTCAGAATGGGAGGTTTACTACTTACTTTAAAGTTTAAGCAGTTTCACTGATAATTTTCTTTTCATTTTTTGAATGACATCCACCAATAATTTGCTGAAGAAGCCATCATTATTTATTGATAAACTGGTTAACCCTTCCATTGTGTTGGGTATCACCTCTACGCCTTTAGATGATTGAGGTAATGTACCACGTGTAGAGAGTCTGAGTAGTATGAGTTGAAATATGAGAAAATTTAAATATGATTTCTTCATACTTATTGATGTAGATTGGTTTGATCTATTATATAGTTACAATACTATGACAACATACACCCAATATTTACAATGTTTACATCATCAGTATGTTTCAAATATCACCTTATCTCCTCCAAAAATGTTGCTATGAAGAAATACTATGTCAAAGACTGACTATCCTAAAAGCTTAAGCTTAAGTTTTTATATGGAGGCCAATGAATTATTTATTCCTCTAACATGTGTGCAAAATCCCTTTGAGCTTTAAGCACAGACAAAACAAAGACTCACACATACTGTGTTGAAAAAATAGCTTATCGAACCATCCATTGTTTATAGATGCTTTGATCTAGAGAGTGTTTTACTGAAAGAATGTCACTGATTTACTAGGTGTACTGGTATTTTCATTTAACATGATAGCTTGAGTACAACTGTATCGCAAGAGGCAGTACAGCGAATATACTTATGAGAGAGTGTTCTACTAGCTAATATGTAATGTTAGATATTGATGGGCCTCTCAAACTCTATGACGAAGTCTACAAACGAAGAGCCCATAACCCAAAGTTAGTTACTGCGGTATAGACACGTGGCAGGCTATTAATGTAAAGGCGAATATTGGAGTGAGTGGAATGGAAGATTCAGTAATATAAGTTAGTTAGTGGAGAGGGAATGGGTGTGAAGAATATTGTGTAAAGGCGTGGGTAGTGGCACCGGGCATGGGTAGTCTCAGTTGTTGTAAAGGGATAGGAGTTCATTGTAATTCCTCTTTCAATTGGGTAGTTGATTGGGAGGATTGTGTCTTTCATTACTGTTCTGACTTTTGAGTTGTATTCATTGTGATGTATATGACTCCGTTTTTCCATTAATCAAAGCATTGTTAGTCAGTGTAGTTGATTCGCTCTCTTTCTCTATTAGTTATCTTTCTTGCTGAATTACTGGTATCAACATTTTTGTATCAGAGAGTTTACGATCCTTGAGTGTTGTATGTACGAATGAGAATGAAGAATCGACTTGAAGAAATCGAGCACAGGTTAGAGGGAATGGAGAACCGATTGGGTGGAGTGGAGGTAAAAGTCTGATAGTTGAGGGAGGCCTTCACGGAGTTCCTGAATCATTTTGACAACCGAGGAAGAGGTGCAAGAAGAGGACGGAGGATTGGCGGGCTAGAAACAGAGATGGGGAATGGTGCATCTGGAAGTGGATTGACTTGGAGGGATGAAGAGAGGACGCGTCAGGTGGTAGTTCCATATTTCTCCGGCAATGACAGTTATTGCTGGATTTTTCGAGCGGAGCGTTATTTTCGAGTAAACCGAATACCACCGGAGGAACATGTAGAGACAACTTTAATTTGCTTGGAGGGAGAAGCTCTTAGTTGGTTCCAGTGGAGCGAACCAAGAAATCCGCTGATCGATTGGGCGATATTCAAGGCCGCGATTTTGCAGTGTTTCCATGTCTGACCTTCAGGAAATCCATATAACGCTTTAATGGAGTTGAAGCAATCCGACACGGTGGCGGAATTCCGGAAGCAATTTGAAGTGTTGTCGGCTCCATTGAGACACGCTGATGAAGAGATGATGCAGGACGCTTTTCTGCTCACGCTGAAACCAGAGATTAGAGCAGAGTTTCGCATGCATTCACCTAATGACCTTGGACGGATGATGTTGCTCGCTCAACACGTAGAAGAAAGGGAAATCGTGTTCTGAAGAGCGGAATCAAATATGGTCCGAAACAGATTTAGGCTTGGAAATGGTTACCATTCGGGTGGGAGGCCTGCACTAACAAACAAAGGTGGGGGTCAAGTTTGGGGGGGGGGGGGGAGTGGAATGGGCCAGCTGCTTCGGCCCAAAACACTACATCTACATTCATGGGTTAGCTAGCAACTCGAATCCCAACCTAACGAGGAGTGTGACAACAAGGCATGGAGGGTCGTCGCATCAAGCACAGACGTCGGTCAGCACGATGGACGGATGCCGTGGTAGTCGATTCCTCCGTCTAACACCAGAGGAAGTAGAGGATCGTCGGCGTCGAAACTCATGCTTCCGTTGTGATGGACCCTTTGGTCTAGGTCATGTTTGCCCGAACTTGTAGTTGCATGTAATGATTATGTGCGAAAGCATGGAGGAACCGATGGAGGAAGAGTTGTGTCAAGGAGTAGACAGAGAGCAGACCGACACTCTCCAACTTAGTGTTCAGAGCATGGTGGGGATCACTTCCAACCGGCCCTTGAAGTTGTGGGGGGATGTGGTGATGCTCTATGAAGCACGGATACGGCTAAAAAAAAAATTTCACGTATCGGATTCGCGTTTTAAACGGGTACGCTTTGCAGACGTTATTTCACGTATCAGAAAAGTCAAAAAATTTAATTCGGTCAAATGGCAAATTTTGTAAAATTTTAAAAAATAAAGGGTGAAGATTTTAGCTTAAAAGAAGCCCTAAAACTAGATGTAACTCACTATATCATCGTCTGAAACCATTCTCCCAAATCGAAATCTGACTCAAGTCATCTCTGCTGCTGGTCGCCTCTGCTCGTTGCCTCTGCTCGTCGTCGTCTTTGCTGCTGGTCGCCTCTGCTCGTTGCCTCTGCTCGTCGCCTCTCGCCTCTGCTCGAGTCATCTCTGCTCGTCTGCCATCTCTGCTCTTCTTTCATCTCAGCGCGTCCATCTCTGTTGGACTTTCAGTTAGTTTTTTTCTAATCTCTCTTTCGTTTTATTTGCTTAGAATTCGTCTGCCATCTCTTTCGTTTATATGTGCGTTTTATTTTGCCGTTTATGTGCGATTGTGCGTTTCATTTTTTTTATATTTGCTTCTTTTATTTTTTGCTTTATTTAATTTCTTTTGCTTCTGCCATTTTGTTTTGTTTTGCCTTTTTATGTTTTGCTTTTATTTTTTGCTTTTTATAAATTAAAAAGAATCATGATTCTGCCAATTTTTATTTTATATGATTTAATTTTTAATTTAAATTTTTAATATGATTCTATATTTCTTTATATTTTCCATTTATGTGCCTTTTCTTTATATATTTTTTATATTTGCTGCTTTTAATTTTTCTTTTTAACATGATTATATATTTTCTATTATTAAATATGATTCTGTTTTTTTTAATATGATTATGTTTGTAAATTATATTTTTTGATTTTAATTTAATATATTATATGATGTTGTTTATGCTGTTTTTAATCTGTTTGCCAATTATGTTTTTTTAATTTATTTGTAAATTCTGTTTTGAATTTAATAGAATGGAGTCAAACATAAATGAAAGCAATAGTTCAATACAATCCAATGTACAAGTTGTGGACACTGAAGTTGAAAACTTGAACAGACCATTGTGGAGGTATGTTACTAGAGTTGAGGATGGAACAAATGCTGGAGGGAATATGAGTTGGAAGTGTAAGTTTTGCCAACTTGAATACAAAAGTTCATACACAAGAGTAAAGGCCCATTTGTTAACATACATAGCAACCTTCGGCTCTTGTCAAGAAAGAGTCCAAAATATAATGAAGGAGAAAGTCAATATTGGGACATTAGTGGAGATGCAGTTGATACCTTTAATGATGTTGGAGCTTTAGATGGTGCTGCCCTTTCCCTAGATGAGCCAGAGTTGGAGGCAAATATTATTAGTAGCACTCCATATCCACATACTAGTTGATGTTTTTATCAATTTTGTATGGATAATCTATTAATTGTGCTTATGATTTTCCTTTTATTATATTTTGTTAATGTGAAATACACTATATATTTAAAAAAATATTTTTATACTAAGACGTATCGGGAATGTATCGAAATATTAGTATTTTGAAGTAACGTATCGACATCGCGTATCGGGAACGTATCGAAAACGCCGTGTCGGTATCGGTGCTTCATAGGTGATGCTGATCGATACTGGAGCATCTCACAATTTCATTGGTGAACGCACAATGAACACTTTGGGGCTGCTGGTGCTCCGATCGAAGTCTTTCAGAGTGGAGGTTGGAGATGGCTACCAGGTACAGGGTAAAGGAACTTTTTGCAAGGGAGTGACATTGGTATTACCGAACTTGTTGATAACACAAGATTTCTTCGTCTTTGACCGTAAGGGTTTTGATTTGGGTTTTACTTGACTGGAAGGATTGGGGGACATTCAAGCTAATTTCAGCAAACTATTGCTTCGAATTACGTGGCAGGGGAAGATTGTAACCTTGAAGGGAGACCCTGAGTTGTCATATAGCCAAGTATCTTACAAGGGAATGACTTGTTCGTGGAGGAAGGGGACAGAAAGGTACTATGCGGAGCTGGGGTACTATGCGGAGCTGGGGTACTATGCTTTGGAATTATCAAACTCACAGATAGAAGACCAACAAATTTCAGAACTGCTTCTACAGTATGAAGATGTGTTCCAATTCCAACCACCTTCAGAGTTGCCACCTCCAAGGGAATGTGATCACAACAAAATCATATTGAAGCAAGGTGCCGATATTCCCAACATATGCCTATATTGTTATCTGTATTACCAGTAGGAGGAGATCGAGAAGTTTGTGAAGGAGATGCTTATAGCGGATGTGATAAGACCGAGTTGCAGTCCATACTCTAGCCCCTTGATTCTTTTGAAAAAGGACAGAAGTTGGAGATTCTTTGTCTACTACAAAGCCCTAAATAAGGTAACGAAT